GGAAAGACACTAATGCAGCACAGGAAAGAAATAATGTTGTTCCCTTGGAATTTTTTAGAAACAGCAAAAAGCAATATTAAGACAGATGTGCCCATGTTATCACACTTCTAGAAGGACAAATTTAATAGGACCTCACTAATATTTGGTATTAAGAAAAAAATGTTTAATCACCTCTCTAATTCAGACTTTCCTGAATGCATATGTTTATTTTCAGTTACTAAACTTAAAAAACAATACTTGTACCTCAAGGGCAAACTAATTTAAATGTTTATTAGCTGCATATTTTTCAGATGTTTCCTATGATTATATATGAAAACGGAGTGCCACTTTCTATAATCCCTTGAATGGGGTTTTCTAATCTGACTCAGTATTTTTTTTAATCCGAAAAGGAAACCATTGTTAGAGTATGGTACTTTTATAGTGGTGAGTGATCATTCTTTTGGTTATGTCTTACTGGGTACTCTTGGGGGAAATGTCCATTGGCTTGCAAAATCTTTTACGGATTTTTACAGTCTATTTTTTTGATCACCATCATTCTTTTTGTTAAATCATAATTTGACTGGCTCCTTCTTCTCTGAGTTCTCAGGAATAGAATTGTGCCTAGATGTCCCAAATGCCCATCAAGTTATCACTATATTATTGGCACTAAAATAGGAAAAGTTAAAAGATTGAAGTTCTTACTAAGATGATCGCATCTATATCCAAATATCATTTTGAGTATCAGTTAGATCAGGTGAACATGTTAAAATCTCATTTTCTCAAAACTTTCTCCAGAAGTATGCTATATTTGTAGCTTTAAATATTTTTCCATAATAGTAAAATTGTTCCCATTCTGTGGGAGTTATTCCAGATTTAGGAATCTTTGTTGTGTCCAGGAGTTGACATTTTGATGTGATGATACTTATATAAGAATAGGGTTGTTCCTCTTTTGGAAGTAAACTTTTAGGAAAAGACTTCCCAAACTTGGAATCATCCTGTGAAATTTAGAGTTAGGGTCAGAATGATACTACATGTTCATACAATACACACTAGTAGAGGGCTT